GTAACTATACTGATGCCTTAGAACTTATATCTCAAGGTGGGTGGCGTATTTACGTTGTAGATGTCTATGGGCTCCAGTAACCACTTAACACCAGGTGGGCTGTGAGCTCGTCCACACATCTAAGCTAAAAAAAATATATTCAGATTTGTATGTACCACAACTTATTTTAAATGAGATTTTTTTTTAAATGCGCACAAGCTTAATTCATTCATCGATAAATTCACTGAAAATTGGCGCGCGGACATTTTTTTATCTGTTCCGATCGCGCCTACCGTTTTGTGCGGACGTCAATGTCAAAAAGTGAAATATATGTAAATTTGCGTCGCAACGTGCTCTGTCGCCAGCATGAAACAGTGAAACAGTTACTGTCCTTAATTAATTTAACGAGAGTCGAATGGATTCCGGTGACGTAACGAAGTTATTATGCATTAATTCCGCGTTCTACTTACAGACTTTGAGCGTTTTTCGTGTCGAATTTCAGACTGAAAGAAATTTAATGTGGAGATTTGAATTTTATTTCTCACTAGCTGACCCGGCAGACTTTGTAGTGCGTCAATCGATAAATAAAATACCTAAACTTTTCTATAAAATAAACTAAAAAAAAAGGAAAAACAATATTGTTATTTTTATTTAATTCCGAGCAATTTCATATTTATCTACCTTTTAAACCTTCTCTGGACTTTCACAAATAATTCAAGACTAAAATTAGCCAAATCGGTCCAGCCATTCTCGAGTTTTAGCGAGACTAACGAACAGCAATTCATTTTTATATATATAGATAGATAGATAGATTTATAACATAGCACAATTTGATATGCCAATTGCCTTTTTTACTGGTGTTAGGACCCCGTGTGAGTCCCGCGCGGGTAGGTACCACCACCCTGCCTATTTCTGCCGTGAAGCAGTAATGCGTTTCGATTTGAACGGCAGGGCAGCCGTTGTAACTATACTGAGACCTTAGAACTTATATCTGAAGGTGGGTGGCGCATTTACGTTGTAGATGTCTATGGGCTTTAGTAAACACTTAACACCAGGTGGGCTGTGAGCTCGTTCACCCACCTAAGCAATAAAAAAAAAGTGCCATGCGTCCGAAAAGAAATATCTCTACCGATAGCTAAGTGCAACATAGGGCTCTTCGCTTTTGAGTTTACGGTTCAATATTCATAAGATAGTTCAATTAGATCTGTACCGTCATACCGGATCAATTCATCAGCTAATAATGATCGATCGTGTTACGGAGATAGATTGATGAGTTCGCATTTACCGTGGGGTGTTCAATTCGTCCTTGATAGGCCTTCAGGGTCAAGACCCTTCGATTCATGTTTGATCTCGACTCTACGATAACCCGAATAACGTACGTACAAAAAAATATTTCGGAGAGTGTCAACGACCTATGACTCGTTAGTTCGTAATTACGTATTCCAAGGAAACATACAGGGTGTGACTAGACCATTCATTGACGAAAATAATGAAAACTAAAAGGAAAAACATCATTGTTCAGGAAACGAGCAATGATGTTTGTCATTGTCGTTTATCATTGGTTCGACATAAATCATTGTTCGCTTACTGAACAATGATTATTGTTTTTTTTTTATTGCCTTTGTAGGCAGACGAGCGTACGGCCCACCTGATGGTAAGTGGTTACCGTCGCCCATGGACCTCAGCAATGCCAGGAGCAGAGCCAAGCCGCTGCCTACTGCTTAATACTCTCCACAAGCCTGGTTTGAAGAAGGACATGTCATAGCGCTCGGGAAACACCGTGGAGGGGAGCTCATTTTGTCACTGTCATTGCTGTCATTTTGACAGCATCATTGTCGTCTTAGTTTTGTGAAACCTCATATAGCTGTATGGTAGTAGTTAGTTGATACGAATGCAAAAATCTATTAGAGCTGTAACTACAATTTCTGACGTCTTATAAATCAATGAACACAAGCTGCATGCACGAAAAAGTGTCACGTTCCGCCTGAGCCTGAACGTGCAAGCGAGAGCGCAAAACAAGCGATAGAGAGGCACGATCGGTCCAAGCGTTAATTTATTGAATTAACTACTTTGTTTTATACAATACTAGCTGACCCGGCAGACTTCGTAGTGCCTTCGTCAATAAAGAAAAGACCTAAACTTTTGTAGAAAATAAATTTAAAACAAACAAAGGGAATCCGTTCGACGGGGGACACATCAAAGGAAAAACAAAATTGTTATTTTTATTTAATTCCGAGCATTTTCATATCTATCTACTTTTTAAACCTTCGCTGGACTTCCATAAATAATTCAAGACCAAAATTAGCCAAATCGGTCCAGCCGCCTAGCCGTTCTCGAGTTTTAGCGAGACTAACGAACAGCAATTCATGTTTATATATACTTATATAATGATAATTCAATGATAATAATTCAAACCGATTCATAAAAGTAGTCAGTTTTTCATCAATGTTTATGACGTTATCACGTAAAACTATCAGACGTAAACCGACTTATACCGACAGACAACCAATTTTTTAAATATGTATGTATAATAATATTTTCGAGGTCATACTTCAATTCTTAACTGTAGCTGGGCTTGGCTTGGCTTGGCTTGGCTCTTTAGCGATTTATATCCTTTTGCATTTATAAACATATCATAGTTCAAACTCTCTTAACAACCTCATTGTCATTCCCTTTCATCATATGGCCGTACCATCCCAAACGCGCACTTCTCAACTTCTCTATCACAGGTGCCACTTTTAGACTTCCTCTAACTTTATGTACTGCTATGCAACATTATTAATCCTAAGCATTGAACACACTACGTTTTCCACTTGGAGAAACATAGATGCAATACCGTCTTTACCATAAGGGCACACGGGGCCTGTGCCCAGGGCCCCCATTCTCAGGGGGCCCTGAAGGACTGACAATTTCTCTCAGACATTTATTCTCAAAACATTTTTGTCAGGCACATAACACTTTTTTCACAAATCAGTAATCTTATCACAAGGCATATACTACGCCATTATATCGATGACTGCGCCTATTCCTACTGTACTAATTAATAATATTTCCGAACGCATCCTACCTAATTTACTAAGTACACCATCTAGCGATCACTCACGCAATCAAATATATCTTTAAAGTCAATTTTTTGAAGGATATCACTTTCTATGCACATAATTGACAAATTACTCAGCCGTTCTTGTAACATTGTTGTTCGCAATTCATTTTTTATTCTCTTAAGCTTCTATTATATAATAGAAGATTTTGCTCAACAGAAGTCCCGAAAGAAACCGTTATCGTAATCGTAACCAAAAAACCAGCAGCATTCTAATATCATTAATTACATATTATATCATACTGTATTTGATTACCTATAATAAATGGTCATACTCAGTAAAAAATATTATTATAACTCGTTTTTTTTCTTTCCAAAAGGGCCTCAAATTCTTGTATGCCCAAGGGCCCCAGACTAGTTTATGACGTCCCTGCATAGATGGTTAATTTTAGGTATAATTTGCGGGGGAATATATCAACTTATTCAAAAGACCTTTATTGCAATAAAATAACATTTAGTTTCGACAATGTTAATTGCTACGGTCGACGTATAGCGACATCAGATAGTAGATAGTAATTTTCGACATTTTAAAAACAAAAATATGATCAAAAGTTATATAGATAGCGAAGGTAATATCTATCTTTTTACTCGTGGTAGGACCTCTTGTGAGTCCGCACGGGTAGGTACCACCGCTCCGCCTATTTCTGCCGTGAAGCAGTAATGCGTTTCGGTTTGAAGGGTGGGGCAGCCGTTGTGACTATATTGAGACCTTAGAACTATATCTCAAGGTGGGTGGCGCATTTACGTTGTGGATGTCTATGGGCTCCAGTAACCACTTAACACCAGGTGGACTGTGAGCTCGTCCACACATCTAAGCAATAAAAAAAAATCTATACAGATATAAAATTTGATAATGTTCGTAAATTAATGATGTAACGGGTCTCTGTTGCATCTATGCTTCCCGTTCATTAGCTTCTATAGACTTAAGTCAAGCTATATAGTAATTTTTTTTCACTGAACTGGGCGAGCGGAACAATTCAGAGTCAAACTAGTGTTAAGTTAAAATAGGACTCTAAAGACGATCTAATACATTATCCCGAAGTCTTGTTCGCCCTGAGAGATCGTTTACCGCAAGAAAAGAAATACTAAGTATATCTGTCACAAAAAAGCAAAAAAAATGGCTTTTTGTCACAGATTGAGACGAAGCGTTCACACTATGCAACTCCCGAAAAGGCACCTTGCCTTTCACAACCTTGTGAAAACAAAAACTTTTGATAAAATATACCCGTCAGGGAACCGACTAAATATCCCTTTTCCTTATCTACGCCATCTATTGGCTCTGTGAAAATCTACAACGCGGCTCCTAGCCGGCGAAGAAGACAAACTGAGTCGATGCTAAACACCGCGCGCGCAACAGCAAAAAAATTAACTGGTGGTAGGACCTCTTGTGAGTCCGCGCAGGTGGGTACCACCGCCCTGCCTATTTCTGCCGTAAAGCAGTAAAGCGTTTCGGTTTGAAGGGTGGGGCAGCCGTTGTTGCTTAAAGCTTTATATCTCAAGGTGGGTGGCGCATTTACGTTGTAGATGTCTATGGGCTCTAGTAACCACTTAACACCAGGTAGGCTGTGAGCTCGTCCACCCATCCAAGCAATAAAAAAAATTAGTAATTCAAAAATATTGTTTTCGCAAGAACTTTGCTTATCAAACTTGTGCGTTGTGTCCGTGTGTCTTTAAACTCGACTACAGCAATCCAGAACGGTGCCCTGGGGACAGAATACCACAATATCGAGATAACATGCATTTTTCTGAGTAGGTACCTTCACCTTCCTTTAGTCGGCTTAGTTTTCTGGGATTTAAATTGATTTTAACAAACGTTGTTTATACAACAATACCTTTCACGGGTTCTTCAAATTGAAATTAAAATAGTTACAATGTTAATTTATTAAACCATAATTAAATCCATGTAAACATATCAAAAGCTTCAGGGGCAACATTTCTTGTTTTTGCCACTGCCACTGTCTCCGCCAGACTTGAACTTGCCAGGATCTATTTCTGGAACAGGTTTTTTGTCTAGGCCTGAAATTAGTCTTTTTAGGTTCATAATAGCCTTTGCTGGATGTAAGCCTTTGGGACAAGCCAACGAGCAGTTCATGATGGTGTGACATTTGAATGCTTTGAAACTGTCCCGTAATTCATACAGTCTTTGTTCCGTGTCGTCGTCTCTTGAATCTATGACCCATCTATACGCATGGAGTAACGTGGCAGGGCCTAAGAACCTCCTACCGTTCCACCAGTAACTAGGACATGATGTAGAACAGCATGAGCACAAAACGCACTCATATAATCCGACCATTTTCTCATTGTCTTTAATGCTTTGGGCTAATTGAGTTTTTCCAATGGCTCCATCGTTTTTCCTCACAAGATACGGTCGAATACTATCGTAGCCATTGAAAAAATGTGTCATGTCAACTACCAGGTCTCTGATGACATACATATGGGGTAATGGGAGTATGGTGATGGTCTTGGCTGGAGGTATCTCAGTGATGCAGGACAAGCAGTTCATTCCTTGTAAGTTGATCGCGCAAGAGCCGCAGATACCTTCACGACAGGATCTCCGAAACGTCAGAGTTGGGTCTTTATCTTTTATTTTAATTAAAGCGTCTAGAACCATTTTGCCGCATGTTGAAACGTCTAGTTCATAGCTCTGTATTTTGGGTTGTTCCTTTGAAAGAATACCTCCGAAGCGATATATTTTGAACGTCCTGCAAGGGTCCACGTCTTTCTTTGGTTTCGTTTCTGTTTTCGAACTATAGTTCCTGAAAGAGAATCTGATGATTTTGTAAAATTGTTCACTTAGTTTGGGCATGTCCGGTTCGATGTTTTTATATTACAGGCTGTTCGTTTAAAACTAGTAAAATATTGAAACAATCTTTAAAAATTGATGTTGTTCTATCGAAAAATTTGACAACGAAATATCACAGTTTGACACTTACAGGTTGACAATAGCGAAACTGAAAAAAAATATCGTTTATTTGGTAATAAATACACGAAGTATTTATTATACAATTTTTTTTTATTGCTTAGATGGGTGGACGAGCTCACAGCCCACCTGATGTTAAATGATTACTGGAGCCCATAGACATCTACAACGTAAATGCGCCATCCGGCTTGAGATATAAGTTCTAAGATCTCGGTATAGTTACAACGGCTGCCCCACCCTTCAAACCGAAACGCATTACTGCTTCACGGCAGAAATAGAGATAGCAAAAAGTTTCATCCACGCTTCTTTGTGATGTATCATCGTTATATTTATAACTAACTGACCCGGCAGACTTCGTAGTGCCTCAATCGATAAATAAAGGTCTTTTATTTACGTTTTGTATAAAACGTACGTTTTGTATAAAATAAACTTAAAGCAAACAAAAGGAATCCTTCCGACGGGGGACACATCAAAGGAAAAACAAAATTGTTTGTTTTTATATACATAATTCCGAGTTTTTTTATATTTATCTACCTTTTAAACCTTCTCTGCACTTCCACAAATAATTCAAGACCAAAATTAGCCAAATCGGTCCAGCCGTTTCCGAGTTTTAGCGAGCCTAACGAACAGCAATTCATTCTTATATATATAGATAGAATAGATAGATAGATTTCCTTACAATTCCCATTAAAAATTTGACATATTTACTTACACATAATCGTAATCACTCACTGAATTTATTAGATGTTATGAGCACGACACCACAGTTTATTTCCTGCAGGTATCCAGATATGCAATTGTTGATTTGAACAATGTACGAATAGAAACTCTATAACTTCAGAATCGATTCTTAAAATGACCCTTGGTACAGTATAGTTTGAGTTAAGTAAATTATAGTGGAAAGAACCTTCTTATATTGTGGAAAATTGTTAAGAAAATAACCCTTCCTAAGCGAAATTTGATGAACGTATTTCATAAGCATCTACATCTAATTCGAATAACTACAGCTCAAGCGTTTGTTTATAATATATCAAGGGAAACATGCCATCATTTCGCTAAGGGCCCGTATAATAAAACTGAAAGATCATAAACATAATTGCCTTACACAACACACGATTTTAGTACTTATCTACGAAAAGACTAAGCTCATATTTGCTTGTAGTCGTTCCGGGCGCTCTACCCCGAGTAGGGCGGGATGAATCATGCTTTCTAAAGCTATGATTGATGACCGTTAGTTTGATACCGACATGGGACCCGATACTGTAAGTGATTAACAGTGAATTTTGAGGAAAAAACCGAAAGTTCACGGTCTCGACTTGTTTTTTATAATTTATGATGTAGGCTCTCTGTGGAATGACGTGAAAGACAATGTTATAAACTCACTTTTTGACGTTACAAAATATAGTGTGGTTAAGTGACGTCATCATTATTTACAAAAATACAAAATACTTTATTTTTTAAAAGCGAGTCAAAACGATACAATGATTGGAGTCTCCTTTAAGCGTGCAAGCATGTACATTGCTTACAAAAAAATAAAATGTTTAGTGGTTTAGTATAGCTTTGTATGGTCAATATGTATGGCCAATTCAAATTAATGTAATTAAATGTAATTACGTAATTCATCATCATCATTTCAGCCTGTCTACTGTCCACTGCTGAACATAGGCCTCTCCAACTGATGTCCAGTTCGGCCGGACCGCTGCCACCTGCATCCAACGTGACCCAGCAATTTTCACCAGGTCGTCGGTCCAGCTGGTAGGTGGCAGTCCCACACTGCGTTTGCCAATACGTGGTCTCCACTCGAGGATATTTCTGCCCCATCGACCGTCCTATCTTCGCGTTATGTGACCTGCCCACTGCCACTTCAGCTTGCTAATCCTATGTCAGCAACTTTGGTTCTTCTACGGATCTCCTCATTTTGGATTCAATCTCGTAGAGTAATACCAAGCATAGCCCTCTCCATAGCTCGCATAATAATGTTATTGAATGTAATGTAATGAAATTTTATTTTTTATTTCCTTTGTTCAATATGCAATGTATCAAGTCGCTCTTAACGTTAACTATAGAGTTGATAGCAATGGAGTTCCTTCAGTGGCATATCTTTTAACAATATATGTTTTATATTATGGATATTGCGTAAATTTTCGTTTATGCAATTTTAAATTAGCCAGAACGGGCTCGATGTTCTATACGAAGTATAATTAAAATTTGGTGCGTGTAAAACATATATTGCGATTTAAAACTTTACCAATTCATAGAGGAAAAGTAAAAAATCAATGTCACTTAGATCACGGTCCTATAACAATAAAAACTCCATCCAAAAAATTCCACCACACAACTAAATATACAAAATCTATTTTCTTAAATTTAATTAATTAAAAACAGATCTGATATAAGATGCATTATATATTATTATATTCGTAAATATTCAATTAGCTATTCACTTTTTCAAAGCATTAGTTACAGACTCGCCTTACGTCTTACAAGAATAAAAGCATTTAATAATAAGATAGCGTTATAAAAAGCGTTTTAATTCGAAAGAAAAACGGGTTTGATATTAGTTATCTGTAGAGATTACTAGTATCGTCTACCAATATCGTAATCTGTAGAGATTACTAATAGTAAACTTGTAATGAAGTAATGACATTTGAAATGGACCTTCCATTTTCCGATTATCCAGTGTTTATTTGACAACTAATTCTAAAAAAATCTATTCGAAGCTACTAATGGCACCGCATTATCTTTAAGATAACTGTTAACTAGATTTAGAGGCATTGGGCGGAGTAAGGGCTTGTACGAAATACTTAGTCACAGAAGGTTACGTTGAAAACAGATGTTAACATTTTATAGCTACGATACAAAATATAGAATTAGGCGATTTGGGTGAATTCAATTTGGTAGGTACCTAGGTGGCACTGAAAATTTCGGGAATTAACGAAGTGACACAACGTTACTATTTAAAAATGTATTTATTGCTTTTCGAAGTATTCTCCGCGAAATTTGACACATTTTTCCATACGATGGAACCAATCATTGAAGCAATCATTCCATTCGGAAGTTGGGGTCTCCAAAATGGCCGTTTTGTAGGCGTCCACAGCTTCTTCAGGTGATGAAAATCTCTGTCCACGCAATTTATTCTTTATTTTAGGGAAAGTATAGAAATCATTAGGGCTTAGGTCGGGGCTGTACGGCGGATGGTCTAATAATTCTATGTTTTCTTGCTCTAAAAACTCTTTTGTTCTGTGCGCGGTGTGAGAACTCGCATTGTCGTGATGGAGGATGATGCGGCGGTTGCAGTTCTCTTTACGGAGTTCAGAAACGACCTGTGGCAAACAAATGCTAGCATACCATTCTGCATTAACCGTTCTTTGTCCCTCAAGAGGAATAGTCGTAACATGGCCGGTTTTGGAGACAAACGTGGCCACCATTTTTTTTGCAACACTCCGTGAACGAACAATTTTTGTTGGCTTTAACTCATTTTCGAACACCCAAACTCGTGACTGGTTTTTTGTTTCGGGTTCGTACGCGTATATCCAGGATTCGTCACCTGATACAATGTTGTATACAGCATTTGAGGATCCTGCGTGGAATCTTTCGAGAGTTCTGACGCACCAAGTAACGCGAGCCGCTTTTTGCTCTTCACAGAGCGAATGCGGTATCCATCGGGAAAACAACTTTTTTACACCTAATTGTTCATGCAAGATTATTTGTATTTGACTCATGCCAATGTCTAAAGTTGCCTGAATTTCGCGGTATGTCACATGTCGATCTTCCTCAATCAGCTTACGCACAGCATCAACGTTTTCTTGGGTGACTGCAGTTTTTGGACGACCTTGACGGGGATCATCACTGAGCTTGACACGTCCACGTTGAAACTCAGCAAACCAGCGATAAATTGTGGTTTTGGATGGGGCTTCATCACCAAATGCAGAAATCATCCGGTCAACACACTGTTTTTGTGTTAAACCACTTCGAAAGTCATAATAAATCATCGCTCTTGAATTTTCTCGAGTCAATTCCATTTTCTCAACGACTAAACAAGTTTGACAAAACCTCGTGACAAGACCGAGAATCTTTTTTTAAATAAATAAATGGTATTCGATTTTTAAAACCAAGGAGTTTTCAATTAAAAAGATTTTAATATGACAGGAACAGTGGAAATATTCCATTCCCGATACTTTTAGTGCAGCCCTCGTACATCTAAACTTTCACTACTGCTTAATTTTTATTAACAGATATTAAAAAGGCTGGTGGAATGTACGACTATATTTTTTGTATGTTCACGATTTCTGCCTCGTTAATGGAATTATTTTGAGTTTTTTGTTGTTTCAAACCGTATACTCTTAACGTGGTTATATTGTTAAGTTTAATAGACGTATAACACCTTCGATATCTGTTTTCAATTGCTATTTTTTTAATATGTTCATTTAAGTACTGGTGGTAGGACCTCTTGTGAGTCCGCCCGGGTAGGTACCACCGCTCTGCCTGTTTCTGCCGTGAAGTAGTAATCAGTTTCGGGTTGAAGGGTGGGGCAGCCGTTGTAATTATACTGAGACCTTAGAACTTATATCTCAATGTGGGTGGTACATTTACGTTGTAAATGACTATGGGCTCCAGTAACCACTTAACACCAGGTGGGCTGTGAGCTCGTCCACCCATCTAAGCAATAAAAAAAAAGTAAAACATAAAGAGGTTCTTAAGGGAAATACGTTTTCATCATAGAAACGCGGAACATCTTCTATCACTTATACCAAATAGCTAAGGCAGTTTCAGATAAGACGTGGACGACACAATATATCCAGGGTCGAGCTGTACACGGTTGTGGCGTTGTAACTTCTGTGCCACAAAAGCGTGGACGAATTAACTGTCCACTTCAAAATAAAAGG